AGAGGTAAAGTAGAATGGAGGAAAGGAAAGACTGAAAGAAAGAAACATTGCCCTGGCCGGTTTGGCTCAGCGGTTAGAGAGTCGGACTGCAGTCCGGAGAGACCTGGGTTCAGTTCCCGCTAAGGGCATGTACGGTACCTTGGTTGCAGCTTGTCCCCAGCCCTGGTTGGGTCGTGTGGGTGGCAACCACTCGATGTGTCGCTTTCACGTCGATGTTCTCTCTCTCTCTCTCTCCCCCTCTATCTGAACAAAATATCGAAAAATGTCCTCGGGTGAGGATAAAAAAAAAAAAAAGAAAGAAACATCAATGTGTCACATTGACAGGTTGCCTCCTGCATGACCCCAACCGAGATATAGTTACGGACCTGCCCGGGTATGTGCCCTTAACTCGGAATCAAACCCGAGACCTCTTGGTCTCATAGGCCAATGCTCTAACTGCTGAACCAAACTGGCCAGGGTTGTTATCTCTGTATTTATTTCTTTTTTACATTAATTTATTTATTTTTGTTAGAGATGTTTCTCCTTTTTACCCCCTAGACACTCTCCTCCCCATTCTCACTGCCCCAGAATTGTTCTCTATTTTATTGGTTACGCATACATGCATATAGGTTCTTTGGTTTATCTTATCCAGCCCTCCCCCTCTGAGGCCTATCAGTCTGATCCATCCTCCTTCCTATGTCTCTGTGTCTATTTTGTTTATTTTATTCCACAAATAAGTGAGATAATGTAGTATTTGTCTTTCTCTGATTGGCCTATTTTGCTTAGCATAATACTCTTCAAGTCCCTCCATGTCATCTCAAAGGATAAGATATCTTTCTTTTTTCTTTATTAATTTTAAAGGGAGAGGGGGAGAGAGAGATAGAAAAATTGATAAGAGAGAAAATTAATCTATTGGCTGCTTCCTGCATGTCCCCCACTGGGTACATGGCTCACAACCTGGGCATGTGCCCTGACCAGGAATGGAACTGGCGACCTCTTGGTGCATAGGTCAAGGCTCATGCACTGAGCCACATCAACTGGACAGAGATATTTCTATTTTACAGCTGCATGTTTTTCCATTGTGTATATATACGACAGTTTCTTTATCCACTCATCTATTGATAGACACTTGGGCTGTTTCCAGGTCTTAGCAATTGTAAATAGTGCTATGAACATAGGCATACATATGTTGTATCCTGCTACTTTGCCAAATTTGTTGATTCTTTCTGATTGGTGTTTCAGGCTTACGATATATTTTTGGAAGTGGGATCACGGGGTCAAATGGTGGTTCCATTTTTAAAAATTTTGAGGAAATACCACATTGTTTTCCATAGTGGCTGCACCAGTCTGCATTCCCACCAGCAGTGTACTAGAGTCCCCTTTTCTCCACACCCTGACCAACACTTGTTTGATGTTTTTTTCATGGCAGGCATTCTGGCAGGTTTGAGGTGATACCTCATAGTAGTTTTAATTTGCATCTCTCTGATTAGTGACGTTGAACATTTTTTCATACATCTCTTGACCATTTGTATGTCCTTTCTGGAAAGGTGTTTAGTTAGGTCCTCTGCCCATTTTTTAATTGTAATCTTTGTCTTCCTTTGGTTGAGTTGTATGAGTACTCTATGTATTTTGGAAATTAACCCCTTATCTGATACATCGTTGGCAATTATGCTGTCCCATTTAGTGGGTTCAGTTTCCATTTTGATGGTTGTTTCTTTTGCTGTGCAGAAGCCTTTCAGTTTGATGTAGTCCCATGTATTAATTTATCTTTTCTTTGTTTCTCCTGTCTTAGGCAGTGTATCAATGAAAATTCTACTGTGTGTGATATATCTTAAAGTATGCTGCCTACATTTTCTTCTAAGATTTTTACAAATTCACAAGTCACATTTAAGTCTTTTACCCATTTTGAGTTTATTCTTGTGTATGGTATAAGTTGGTGGTCTAGTTTCATTGTTTTGCATGTAGCTGTTTTCCCAACACCATTTATTAAAGAGGCTGTTTTTACTCCACTTTATGCTCCTGCCACCACTGTCAAATATTAACTGACCATAATGTCTTGGGTCAATTTATGGGCTCTCTGTTCTGTTCGATTGGTCTGTATGCCTGTTCTTGTGCCGGTACCAAGCTGTTTTGATTACAGCGGCTTTGTAGTATAACCTGATATCTGGTATTATGATTCCTTCTACTTTGTTCTTTTTCAAGATTGTGGTGCCTATTCGGGGTCTTTTTTGGTTCCATATAGACTTTTCAAGTAGTCTAGTTTTGTGAAAAATATCATTGGTATTTTAATGGGGATTACATTGAATCTATAGATTGCTTTGGGTAGTATGGGCATTTTAATGATGTTCATTCTTCCAATCCATGTACAAAGTATATGCTTCCACTTTTTTATATCTTCTGTTTATTTTTTAATGTCCTGTAGTTTTCTGCAAAGAGTTTCTTTACTTCTTTGTTTAAATTTATTACTAGGTATCTTAATTTTTTTGCCACAATAGGAAATGGGATTTTTTGGTTCCTTTTTTTATGAGTTCATTATTGGTATATAAAAATGCCATTGATTTCTTGATGTTAATTTTGTATCCTGCTACTTTGCCAAATTTGTTTATTAAATCTAGTAGATTTTTGATGGATTCTTTAGGGTTTTCTGTGCACAATATCTTGTCATCTGCAAATAAAGAGAGTTTCACTTCCTCCTTTCCAATTTGGATTTCTGTGTGTGTGTGTGTGTGTGTGTCTGATTGCTGTAGCTAAGACTTCCAGTACTATGTTAAATAAGAGTGGTGAAAGTGTGCATGTTATCTCTTTCTTAATTACAAGTTTCTAAATGTGAAGTCTATGTCTAAAACATAACATCCCCTAGTTTTTTAAACATCCTAAGCACTCTTGATATGTCAGTTGCATGAATGGACTCAATGGTTGTGTCTGTGTTTTTCACCTTTCATTACCTGAGTTTATTAGTGTGTGATAATAAATTTAGAAAGTTTCTTTTGTAGGATATCACAACAGTTTGGAATGTTGACTTCATCTCACATTTATTCTTGTTTTTGTTTTTTGATCCTCACTCGAGGATATTTTTTCCCACTTATCTTTTTTATTAATTTGTTTTTCTTTATTAATTTTAGAGAAAAGAAGGGAGAGGGAGACAGAGATAGAAATATTGATGAGAGAGAACATCAATTGTCTGTCTTTTGCATGCACTCACTGGGCATTTGGCCCACAACATGGGTGTGTGCCCTAACTGAAAATTGAACCAGTGACCTCTTGGTGCATTGGTCGATGTTCAACTACTGAGCCACATGGGCCAGGCTCCACTTATCTTCAGATAGAGTGGGAGGAGCAAGAGAGAGAAAGAGAGAGAGAGAGAGAAACATCAATGTGGGAGAGACACATTGACTGGCTGCCTCACACACAATCCTGACCAAGCCAGGGACTGAACCGCAACTGACATACGTGCCCTTCATCGGAATTGAACCTGTGACTCTTTGGTCCACAGACCAACGCTCTAACAGCTAAGCCAAACTGGCCAGAGTATAACATTTGTTATTTAATAATTGTTATGAATTTTGAGCCAAGTACTAAAGGTACTCACTAGGTTATATCCTGGTATCTAAGTGCATTAAATATTAGCTTCTATTTTCTATTACAGAAATAATAGGCTTTTTCTTGAACTTTATGAAACATTACTTTTACCTTGGCATAAATTACTTGGCATAAACATTACTTTTACCTTGGCATAATTATTTATAGTAATTCACTCAGTGTGAGTGAATTAAAGAACTTAAGCAAGGAGACCAGATAAGCCTTAGATTCAAGTCACCACTTTGCCTAGTAAACTAGACTAAATTCATCTCTATGATACCTCCCCTTCCCACCCTACCTGTTTTCTCATCTGTGAAATAGTGATCTATACATATATCTGAGAGGTTTTGAATGAAGGTGAAGATAACAAATAATATGTGTAAATAAACTAATACATTGCCCAATAAAAGATTACTACTTACCAATGACACTGTGTAAATAATGAATTTGACATGATATAGTGAATGCTGCACATTTATTTTTCATCAAATTCAAAACTAAAAATAATATTTAGAAACCTAAGGAATATGGAAAACACTAGGGTGTTACCGCAAAAATTTAAAAATTGCACTGCCATTTGACCCAGTCATCTCACTTCTAGGAATATACTCTAAAAATCCTGAAACACCAATTAAAAAGAATATATGTACCTCCATGTTCATAGCAGCACTATTTACAATAGCAAAGGTCTGGAAACAGCCCAAGTGTCCATCAGTAGACGAATGAATAAAAAAGCTGTGGCACATATACACAATGGAGTACTATGCAGCTGTAAGAAAGATGTCTTATCCTTTGAGATGACATGGAGAGACCTGGAAAGTATTATCCCAAGCAAAACAAGCCAAGCAAAAAAAGACAACTACTACATGATCTCACTTATATATGGAATATAATGAACATAACAGTCTGAGGAATAGGGTAGACCCAGAGACGTGGAAGTAGGGTACAGACTGACAACCCTCAGAAGAAGGAGTGCGGGGGAGGGAAGAGATCAACCACAGAACTTATATGCATGTACACATAACCAATGGACATGGACAATGGAGCTGGGGACGGGGTTGTGGGGATGGGGAGGAGGGTGTCAATGGGGTAAAAAAGGAGAAACATCTGTAACAAAAATAAAATAATAAAATAAATAAATTTTAAGAAATAAAATAAAGAAACCTAAGGAATAAAGCCTTTAGAATTCAGTGGTTCTCAACCTTCCTAATGCCACAACTCTTTAATACAGTTTCTCAGTTGTAGTGACCCCCAACCATAAAATTATTTTTGGTGCTACTTCATAACTGTAATTTTACTTCTGTTCTGTCTTAGGCGACCCCTGTGAAAGGGTCAGTCAACCCCCAAAGGGGTCGCGACCCACAAGTTGAGAACCGCTGCTTTAGATCATTTCTTTTTTTTTACATTCATATTACTGATCATTTCTTAAATAATATCTTTAGATACGAGTGTGAAGAGTCTTTTACAATTCTGAATGTAGATATTAGAAATCACCAAAACCTTCTTGATTCTTTGGAACAGTATATCAAATGTGATTTATTGGAAGGTGCAAATGCTTATCATTGTGAAAAATGTGATAAAAAGGTATGTATTGTCCAATTTTAAAAATACATATGATTATATTTAATAGAACAGGTAAACATCAGAGTTGTTTATATACAACTCATTTTTTAACCTCTGCTTTTTTTTTTTTTTTTTTTTTTTATAGTGGTGGCAAAGAGGAACTGAAAATGATTTAAAGATTTGTCAGGGAAACAATATTGAGAGAAAATAATGTAGTGTATTAGGAAAAACCATTTCAAGTGGATAATTAATTTTAGAAGTCACAATTACTTTTTATTTCTGCCCTGAAGCAAGTTGCCTTAAACAACTCCCACCTGAAAGGTTGATAGTAGAAAACATTTTCCCCTTTCGTACTCCAGGTTATTCTTCAAGTTCAGATGAACAGGATGTTAATTTTATTTGATTACATAAGATTTTTATAGTCACTTCTAGTGGGGTTTTTTAAAATCCTCACTTGAGATTTAATGGGAGGGAGGGAGGGATAGAGGAAGGAAGAGAAAAAAATGGATGTGAGAGAGACACATCAATTGGTTACCTCCTGAATGTGCCCTGACCAGGGCCATAGATTGAACCTGCAACCCAGGTACATGCCTTTGACTGGGAATTGAGCTCTTGACCTTTAGGTCCACATGCTGACACTCGAAGCACTGAACCCCACTGGCTAGAGCAACCACACATTTTAAAATAAGGACCTTGGGGGCAGATGGTGGCGTAGGTAAACGCGGTATTGCGTCCTCCCACAACCATATCAAAGTTACAACTAAACTAAAGAACAACCATCATTCAAAACTGCCTGAAATCAAGCTGAATGGAAGTCGTACAACTACGGAACTAAGGAAAAAAAAAAAGCAGCTACATCCAGACCGGTAGGATGGGCGGCGGCGCGAGGGGGGGCGGCGGCACAGCGGCGAGACGGGCTGGTCCCACACCCAAGTGTGGTGGATAAAAATCAGGAGGATCCCACAGCTGGGAAGGTCCTCCCTGAGGACTGAGGGGTCCCCGTCCCACACCAGGTGCCCCGTTCAGGGTTCCAGTGCTAGGAAGAGAATCCCCATAACTTCTGGCTGGAAAAACCAGCGGAAACTGAGGCTCAGGGAAGCTGAAGCGGCTGGAACCCCAGGCAGCTCCCTAAAGGGCCCGCGCACGGACTTATCAGACTCTCTCCCTCTAAGCTCGGAGGGGAGGCAGCTCAAGGGGCACCAGAGACATACAGGGAAGAACGGAGCTGTTTGGCACTGGAGCGAGTGCTGGAGAGGGGGCTTCCTCGGGGACAAACGTGCTGTCAGAGGCCTTTGTTCCTTTGGTGAGCCCTTCCCGGGGGCGGCAGACAGAAGCCATATCTGGGACTCCAGCAACCTGGCTCACACTGGTAGCCCCGCCCTGCTGACTCCCTGAGGCCCCGCCCCGCCCCACACAACTTTCAAGCTGTTGCCACTTGCTTAACCATAGGATTGGCCTGTCTTGGATCCTGCTTCAGGTTTTTCCTAAATTCTTTCAAACGAGCAGCACCGGGTCTCAGCGAGCCCCATACCACTCATTAAGTAATACACAGAAACAAACACAGGGAGGCAGCCAAAATGAGGATACAAGGAAACAGGTCCCAAATGAAAGAACAGAACAAAACCCCAATAAAAGAACTAAGCGAAAGGGAGATAAGCAACCTAACAGATACTGAGTTCAAAATACTGCTTATAAGGATGCTCAATGAACTTAATGAGAACCTCAGTGAACTTAGGGAGGGCCTCAAGAGCATAAAAAAGTACCAGTTAGAAATCATGGATACACAGTTAGAATTAAAGGAGGCATTAACTGAAATAAAGAATAATTTACACAGCTTCAATAATAGAGTATGTAGACCCAAGGAGCAAACCATCGATTTGGAATATAAGGAAGCAAAAAATCCCCAATCAGAACAGCAAAAAGAAAAAAGAATCCAAAAAAATGAGGATAGAGTAAGGAGCCTCTGGGATAACTTCAAGCGTGCCAACATTCGCATCCTGGGGGTGCCAGAAGGAGAAGAGCTAGTTATTCTCTGAATATCTCCTGGAGTGTCCTAGTGCAGAAGTGAGGGGTGCCTTTGCAAAACTTATCGTATTTCTTGCACATTTTTCTTTGCAAGACGGGCCTTGTTCTTCATCTTTTTCATTTCCAGGACCTTCAAGTAAGGTAATTAAATTTTTTTTTTTTTTGTAATAATGAAGTGCTTACAAGTAAATTCTGTTTTCTGAAAGGTCAGATCAGAAAACATGTATATCTGCTTGATATATTTACCATATATAAATGCATGCGTACATTATTGAGTTAACTAAAATAATTTCACACTAATAAATAATGATTGTTGGGTATTTTAAAATAAAACAAGGAAAATTTCTGCTTATTCTGTTGCTTGTAGTTATGCAATAAGTCTTCTGATTCTGTATGTCTAGTTAAGCTTGACTTTTTAATGACTAAATTTAAATTCTTTGTTAAGGAGCCTTTTTGGCATAAAACTATGTACATGATTTGTTTTGGATGTTTTTTTGCAATTACAACCGTATAAAGCATCTATAATGAAATCTATCCCAGGTCTTCATTCCTCCTCTTCAAAAGCAACTCCTTTCCTGACTAATGCAGCCACATATATGAACATGATCATTTTTTATGTAAATAGAAGTATACAATTTTGCATCTCTTGCTGATAAAATGTCTTATCCTTTACAGGCCTGTGATAACATAAGCTTGAGTGATCACTTATTAAGAGCAGTATTAAATCTCCTGAGAAGGGAAGTTTCAGAGCATGGCCATCATTTACAGCAGTATTTCAATCTGTTTGTAATGTATGCAAATTTAGGTAAGAACTTTTCATGTATTGTTTCATATTTACATATTAAATGATGTAAGCATTTTAATGTAGTGATGACATCTTATCTCTTCCAATAGAAGCAGTATTCCATATTCTTTTTTTTTTCAGAGAGAGGAAGGGTGAGGGAGAGAGAGGTAGAAACATATGAGAGAGAGTATCAATTGGCTGCCTCCTGCATGCTCCCCACTGGGGATTGGCCCCATAACCTGGGCATGTGTCCTGACCAGGAATCAAACCAGTGACCCCTTGTTGCATAGGTCAGCACTCAACCACTAAGCCACACCAGCTGGGCCATATTCATATCATTGAAACTTTTCAGCCCTGGCAGGTGTGGCTCAGTTGGTTAAGGTTCATCTGGTGCACCAAAGATTGCTGGTTGAGCGGCTCAGCGGTTAGAGCGTCGGCCTGCGGTACAGAGAGACCCGGTACAGAAAGACCCGGGTTCGGTTCCCGCTAAGGGCACGTACCTCGGTTGCAGTTTGTTCCCGGCCCTGGTTGGTCGTGCGGGTGGCAGCCACTCGATGTGTCCCTTCACATCGATGTTTCTCTCTCTCTCTCTCTCTTCCTCTCTCTCCCTCCCGCTCTATCTGAACAAAAAAATGGAAAAATGTCCTTGGGTGAGGATAAAAAAAAAAAAGATTGCCGGTTGATTCCCCCAGTCAGAGAATATGTCTGGGTTGCAGGCTCAGCCCCCAGTAGGGGGCATCCAGGAGGCAGCCAATCAATGTATCTCTCTTATGTTGATGTTTCTCTCACTGTTTTTCTTCTCTCTCTCTCTCTCTGTCTCGCTCTGTTTTCTTATCTCTTTCTCTCTCTCTCTCCCCTTCTCCCTCTGTCTCCAAAAATTAATAACAATTCTCCATTTTTGTAGGTTAATCCTTAACAAAAGATATTTTCCCATTGATTTTTAGATAGAGTGGAAGGGAGGGAAGCAGAGAGAGAGAGAGATACATGGATATTAGAGAGATATATTGGTTGGCTGCCTCTCGAACAACTCCAACCTAGTACTGCAACTCGGGTACAAAACCCTTCAGTATGAGGGCCAACACTCTTACTGCTGAGCCAAAGAAGCCAGGGCTATAAATTTTTTTGCCTTGAGCAGGCAGCAAAATTCATGACCAGGGCTTTGCACAGTAGTACCCAATCAGTACTTACTGAATAAATGCACGGATAGCTAACAGTATACATCAGAAGTTTTTTCACATTTTTAGTGTTCTTTTAAATCATTGTTTATAAAGGGGGAAAAGAATAAATTGTTATAGTAGCAAAAAAAAAAAAAAAAGAAAGAAAGAAATTGAATATCAGTGATTCAGGTTAGTGAACCAAGCACTCAAAATTCCTAATACTTGAGGTGCAATCTCATTAAAAGTTTTGAAATATTAATATATATTTGGTTTAATTTTTATGAGGTATTGATTCACAAAATTAAACTATTTGAATAACTTTTTTTAAATCACTATTATTTTGTATCTAAAATTATGTTTTTATACCCATGCCTTCCTTTTAAAGTGTTAACTGGATGAACCTAATAATCATTTACTAATGAACTATGATTTCTTTAATTGAAGGAAAATTCTACTTTTCTTTCTCCTTTCTCTTATTGTCTCTGTAGTTTATTTTCCTTACTTGCCTATCTATAAATGAGATTTTGAGATGCTCGTAGCTGAGAAGGAAGAGAATGTCACACAAAGAAGCATAAGTGAAATCACCTTTTTATTTCTATTTTTAATGTAAAACTACCAAATTTAAATGGTTGTTGGGTTTTTTAAATTATATGATTGATTTTAGAGAGAGAAGAGAAACAAATGTGGGAAAGAAACATTGATTGTGCTTCCCACACATGCCCCAACTTGCGATCGAACCCAGAACCTAGGTATGTGCCCTGACTGGAAATCAAATCAGCCACCTTTGGGTGCATGGGACTATGCTCCACTAAACTGAGCCACACCAACCAGTGCTAAAACTACCAAATGTCATCACTTCTAAAAGTCATATTTTGTAGTTTTCATTTTATATACTTATTTTTTTATTCCTCACCTGAGAATATGTTCTATAGACTTTTGAGAGAGATGAAGAAGAGAGAGAGAGAGCGAAACATTGATATGGTAGAGAAACATTGATCAGTTGTCTCCCTTATGTGCCCAAACCAGAGATTGAACCAACAACCTAAATATGTCAGGACTAGGTATGGAATCCACAACTCGTTGGTATATGGAATGACACTCTAGCCAACTAAGCCACCTGGTCAGGGCTATAGCTTTTGTTTTAGATATTTCTTATTCATATAGCTCTCATTATTCATCTGTAATATAACTTAATAGTAATTTTCACTGCCAGAAATAAGTATACATTGATAAATTAATATTTAACCCTCAGGGCTAGAAATGTTTAGGTTTCAGAATTTATTGAAATTTAGAAAAGTGTAAAGAAAGGAAGATGTGCCACATATTATTTGACATTCACATTAAGGTCTTATATCATTAGGAGTGTTTCTTTGATAGATAATGAACATTTAGTTTGGGGCAGTGGGTGGTGGATAAATGTCTGTTCAAGCCAGGTTTCAACAAAAAGTGTATCATAACAATATAAAAATGCTTTGGTTTTAGAGCTTTATGAATTTCAAATAAAATATTGTAAACCTATCCTCACTGTTGTCCTGGGAATATAGCAATGAATAAAAAATCCTAATGGTATACCACGTATTATAAACACAGGAAAAATACAAACTGCTATGAAGTACATTTATATATTTTTAAAATGAATTTCATCCATTTCTTTTTACTTTATTTATTTATTTATTTTTTATTCTCACCCGAGGACATTTTTTGCTCAGATAGAATGAGAAAGAGAGAGAGCGAGAAGCATTGATGTGAAAGGGACACATCGAATGGTTGCCACGCACACAACCCAACCAGGGCTGGGGACAAACTGCTACTGAGGTACATGCCCTTAGCGGGAACCGAACCCAGGCCAATGCTCTAACCTCTGAGCCAAACCAGCCAGGGCTATGAAGCACTTTTTTTTTTTAAATTAATTAATTTATTTTTATTACAGATGTTTCTCCTTTTCCCCCCACTGATTCCTCTTTCCCCTCCCTCCCCGCCCTGTCCCCAGCTTTGTTGTCATTTAATGGAGTATCTGTCCTACATTTAGAAACTAAGTAAGGGTTTGCTGAATAAAGTGATCATGGACAACTTGCTGAATAAGTGATCAGTGAATGGCATATGAATGGCTTGATATGGCATAACATGGTTTATTCAACAACATGATAGTTATTCAATGTGACTGAATTAGTGAAAGAGAAAAAGGGATTTGCAGAATACTCTAATTGTGCTCTTTTGACAAGATAATTAGAATAGTGAGTCTGCTTTTTATCATGAAGACACTGAATGCCATCATAATATTATAAATAAATTTTACATTAGAAAGATCACACTGCCTACAGGGTAGAATGGATTGCATTGGAGTAAGACTAGAGATTGTAAAATAGTGATTGATAGATGTAAAATAGTGATTGATAGACAAAGATCTTTACTGCCTTGTAATAGGGAACTGGCAGTAAGGAATAGACACTTGGACAGATTGAGGAGTTTTTTGAGACAGAATCAGCAGAACTTAATGATTAGATATTGAGGGAGTGGGAGTGTAAGAGAGAAGAGATGTTAAGAGAACTCCAAAGGTGGGACTTGAGAAACTGAGAGAATAGTGGTGCCATTTACTGTGAGGAAACCGGGGTAAGGGATGGGGTGGGGGGATTAGACAGATTAAAAATTAAAAGTATGTTGCACAGCTAAGATACAAATAAACACTGAGATACAAATATCCAGAATTTAGAGTCATCTGCATGAATATATCCATTACTATAGATTTAGTCAAAGTAAAGTAACTTGGCTAGGAAATAGCCTAGAATGGCATTGTTGGGAAAACACTAACTTCTAAGAAGTAGAGAAAAGACTTCACAAATAGTAAGAAGTATTTAGAAAAGAGAAGTAGAAAAACAAAACTGTAATGAGAGAGAGCATTCAAGGTAAGAGTGCTCAGAATGAGGAAGTACTTAATATTAAGAACTCTTTTTTTAGCTTCAAATAAAAAATATTGGGACAGAGATTAAATGGTCTTGAGGAATGGAAAAATAAGAAAAGTGGAAATAGCAAATTTGGGTTTGGGTTTTTTTTGTTTTTCTTATAAAAGTTTTAGTAGGAAGGGGAATGGCCATTTACAAAAGTATTTTTATTTCTCATATAGTTTCTGTCTTTATCATCTTTCTTTAGGGAGTTGCTATCTAGGCTCCTCTGGTGTCTCTAAGAGGTCCTCCTATAGAATGAACATTATCTTTAGGGCTTAATGTAACTGGAATTCCAGAGTCAATTACTACTTCACAGTTAGAATATTAACTAAATCAGTGTATTTTCTATTCTGTCTACATTCTACTTGCCTTTAATTATAAATATTATAGGTAGCCATATTATATAATATGACTTTTTTATTAATGCAATACTAGTCATTAACTGTTTTTGTTTGTTTAATTTCCTAACACATTTTTTTTTTCTCTCTATTATAGGAATGGCAGAAAAGACACAGCTTCTGAAATTGAGTGTACCTGCTACCTTTATGCTTGTGTCTTTAGATGAAGGACCAGGCCCTCCAATCAAGTAATAGTATGCTGAGTTAGGGAAGTTATACTCAGTAGTGTCTCAGCTGATCCGCTGTTGCAATGTCTCATGATAATGCAGTCTTCGATCAATGGTAAAGTTGAATGTTCCATTCTTTACAGAAATTTAAAAATAATGCCAGTCTCTTACAGAACTTAATTAAAATATTAAAGATATATCAAATTAAGAGTGTGAAGATTCATGCTTTGGATGTGTTATATTATATCACATTTAAACACAATATTTTATTGTTTTTTTATCCTCACCTCATGACATTTTTGCATTTATCTTCAGATAGAGCAGGAGGAATAGAAGGGGGAAGAGAGAGAGAAACATTGATATGAGGGAGACACATTGGTTGCCACCCACACAACCCCAACCAGGGTCAGGGACAAACTTCAACTGAGTTACGTGCCCTTAGTGGGAACCGAACCCAGGACTCTCTAACCACTAAGCCAGACTGGCCAGGGCTATCACATATAGTTTAAAATACACCTTTTAAAACTTACACCCTACTGTGATAAATCCCTTATTTATGAGATTGTTTATTTAAGAATTTTAATTTTAGCTCTGCCGATGTGACAGTGGATTGAGTGGTGCCCCATGGACTAAGAGACCCTGGTTCAATTCCAGATCAGAGCACATGGTTGGGTAGTGAGCTCGATCCCCAGAAGGGGGCATGCAGGATGTGGCCAGTAGATGTTCTTTTTCATCGATGTTTTTATCTCTCTCTCCCTTACCCATCCTCTCTCCCTAAAAATCAATAATTAAATTTAAAAAATATTTTTTAAATAAATTTTAAGGTTAGGGTTAGTTTTGGTTTTTCTTGTCTTCATTGTCATTATTTCTACTTTTGCATCTAACTGTGTCTATATCTGGTCTTTTTAATGTATGTTTTGTGGTTAGGAGACTTTGTGGTAGTTTTTGAAATAAAAATTCAGTAATGTACTATTGTGAAGAAATCTCCTAGTTTTACATTGATAACAAATCTATTCTAGGTAATCCCCCTCTTCCCAATCCATTTGGTGACCCTAATTTATCACAGCCTATAATGCCAATTCAGCAGAATGTGGCTGACATTTTATTTGGGAGAACAAGTTATGTGAAGAAAATTATTGAAGACTGCAGTAACTCAGATGAGACCATCAAATTCCTTCGTTTTTGCTGCTGGGAGAATCCTCAGTTCTCATCCACTGTCCTCAGTGAACTCCTCTGGCAGGTTAACAGAAAAAAATTATATTATCTGTAATTTGACTTATTATTCCTTTAAATAATTAATCTAACCATGTTTTATCTAATTTTAGGTTGCATATTCATATACCTATGAACTTTGGCCATATTTGGATCTACTTTTGCAGATTTTATTGATTGAGGATTCCTGGCAGACTCACAGGTTGCTATGATATTTGCTATCAGAATAAGTACTTTTTTTTTTTCTATGTTCTAGAAATAAATGAAATTGCCAGTAGGCAGATACAGTTTTCACTTCTTGAAGCTCTGTTAAATGGTTTATCTTTAAAAATATACACTGGCCGCCCTGGCCGGTTTGGCTCAGCGGTTGGAGCGTCGGCCTGCGGACCAGAGAGTCCCAGGTTTGGTTCCCGCTAGGGGCACGTACCAATAAATAAATAAATAAATAATAAAATATATATATATATATATATATATATATATATATATATATATATATATACACTGGCCAGTTTGACTCTGCTGCTAGAGCATCAGCACATGGACTAAAGGGTTGAGGGTTCGATTCTGGTCAAGGACACATACCTGGGTTGCTGGTTTGATCACCACCCCAGATAGGATTGAACCCACAATCTAGATATTTGCCCTGACCAGGAATCCAACCCACAACCTATTGATGTGAGACGATGCTCCAACCAACAGAGCCACATGCCAACACTAAGATCTTTTTTGTTTTGTAAAATACAGTGCTTAAAGGTAAATCATTACAGTGCGGCTGGTGTGGCTCAGTGGTTGAGCTTCGACTCATGCACCAAGAGGTTGTCAGCTCGATTTCCAGTCAGGGCACATGTCCAAGTGATGGGCCCAATCCCCAATGGGGGGCATGTGAGAGGCAGCCAGTAGATGTTCTCTCTCATGGATGTTTCTATCTCTCTCTCCCTCCCTTCCTCTTTCTAAAATCAATAAATGAAAAAAAAAATTTTTAAGGTACATTACTACAATCTTAAATTTTATAGATAATATAATATACTTCTTAAATTAATATTTTCAGATTGTCATCTAATTTATTATCATATATTTCAAAGAAATCATTGAATGTTGTCAAAATAGCATTACCCAAAATTCGTTGCCATGAAATTTGTAGTAATTTATTATTTAGCACCTATTTCAATATAATGAAATAATTAGATATTTTATAAAGAGTTTGTTTTAATGGAATCTAATTAGTTTAAAGAAATTCTAAGCATATATCATTTGCTCTAACTTTCTTATATATGCTTTAAACTGATGAATTACAACCTCGCCTTGTCTTACCCAACCAAATGGTAATAAAAGTATAAATGCTGTATTAATGTGGAAAATACTGGACTTCTGTGAACAAATTATTAAGATTCTGTTATTATGAGCCTCAGCTTGAAGTGCTTGTATAATGAAAATTTATTTATTCAATAAAAAGTATTTCAGAGATGTTTACAAAGCATCTGTATGCCAGGCATTTGTTACAGACAACAGAACAAGACAGGCAAAGACAATATTTATTTTTGTAGCTTGTAAAAGCAGTTGACACTAATGATTATATGGCAGAAATGTTAAGTATCACTCATTATTATTTAAAACTGAAGAATAGCCCTGGCCAGTTTGGTTCAGCGGTTAGAGCGTCAGCCTGCGGTCCGGAGAGACCTGGGTTCGGTTCCCGGTAAGGGCACGTACTTCGGTTGCAGTTTGTCCCCGGCCCTGGTTGGTCGTGTGGGTGGCAGCCACTCGATGTGTCCCTTCACATCGATGTTTCTCTCTCTCTCTCCCTTCCTCTCTCTCCCTCCCACTTTATCTGTACAAAAAATGGAAAAATATCCTCGGGTGAGGATAAAAACAAACAAACAAACAAAAAAACTGAAGAATAAAAAAAGAATATATACTTTAATATATATATTACAACTTTCTCAAGATAAGTATTACCTATGCCTGTTATTTTTTGTCTGATATAATTATATCAGACTTTGAAAATTTAATAATATTGTGTTTACACAGGCTTACATTATGAATATGTATACTGAAAAACAAAACAACTTGCCTTTGATTTGGTCTATAATGATATTCTATTAAATAAAATAAATTGTGTTAAGGAGAAGTTTTTCCAGATATTTTCTGTCTAATCACCTTTGTCCCATAAATAATTTTTAAATTGGTTGTTGAGGAGAACAGGAAATAATTGCCTGTATAAAATGTTATGTTTATGTTTGGCTATAGCTGAAATGAAATTATTCATTATTAGCAGAATCAGCCAAATTATACTCTTGCCAGTGAGAATTGCTGTACCTACCATGTGTGTACTATAGTAATTAGAATTCAAATTATAAATTTGTACTGCCAAATTTTTGCACTATCATAATCATTAGAACCTTACTTTACACTCCTAAAATGCAATACTAAAAAAAAAGACTCAAAAGTAAATTATTCTCTTTCCCAGCCAATGTGGCTCAGTGGTTGGGTGTTGACCCATGCACCAGGAGGTAGGTCCCCGGTCCAATTCCCAGTCAGGGCACATACCCAGGTTGCAGGCTGATCCTCAGTGAGGGTGTACAGAAGGCAACCAGTCGATATTCTCTCTCATCCATATTTCTGTCTCCCTCTCTCTCTCCTCTCTCTAAAAATCAATAAAGAAAAATATTTTTTAATTAAATTATTCTCAACTGAAGCAGTTATGAAGACAGTTGTAGTTAACTTTAATTTTAAAATAATGTATTAGTAAAGTTAATTTACATTTAGTAATGCATTTTGGATTGATAATAATTTGGTAAAACTTCTGAATCTTGAGCCAAACTGTTAGCCAGATCCCCAGCTTGCTATTTCTGACATCCACAAGCTGTTTGACTTCTGCACTTGTTTTTTCACCTATTAACTGGATTTACTAATACTGCCTTCTTGGATAATTAACTCTCGAGTTAAATAGGATAGATGATTACATCAAAACATATAGTGGCCCTGGACAGTTTGGCTCAGCGGTTGAGCATCAACCTGCAGACCAGAGAGTTCTAGGTTTGGTTCCCGCTGGGGGCGCATACCACAAAAAAAAAAAAAAAAAAGGAAAGAAAACATGTATTGGATGGCACACAATTGTCACTCCACTGTTATTACTAGATATTATAAAATTTTATATCTGGTTTTTTTTAGAATTCATAGCACACTTAAAGGAATTCCAGATGATAGAGATGGTTTGTTTGATACAATCCAACGCTCTAAGAATCACTATCAAAAAAGAGCATACCAATGTATAAAATGTATGGTAGCTCTCTTTAACAGTTGTCCTGTTGGTTATCAAATACTACAGGTGAGAATTATTTGTTACAATTTTGTCACAATCTGAATCATAATTAAGGACTGCTTTAAAAAGAAATGTTTCCTGAAAATGAGGCAGTGTTTTAGGTTAACATAGAAAATTATTCCAAATTGTTTTACATGATTGTTCTTTTTATGTTTGTTTGTTTGTTTGTTTGTTTGTTTGTTTGTTTGTTTAAAGAATAATGGAGATCTTAAAAGAAAGTGGACTTGGGCAGTGGAATGGCTTGGAGATGAACTTGAAAGAAGACCATACACTGGCAATACTCAATACACTTATAATAATTGGTCTCCAGTACAAAGCAATGAGACATCAAATGGTTATTTCCTAGAGAGATCACATAGTGCTAGAATGACACTTGCAAAAGCTTGTGAACTATGTGCAGAAGAGGTAAAAAACAAACAAACAAACAAAAAAAAACTACCATTAAGCAGCAGACAGAACTGAAAGAAAATTTTAAATTTATAAGCCAGTGTTTATTGTGTAAAAATATATGTGCTATTGTTTTATTGCCTTTAAGTTTACTGTTGATTGGTTTATGCTTAAATAATTAAAGGATCTTGTTAACTCATTAGTTTGAAGAAATATCTGTGAAATTATCTAATAATCTGTGAAATTATCTAATAGAGGAATTCAGTTTTTGTTTTTTTTTTTCTAATTTTAAATTATTTTATCTGCAGTAAGTGGCAAGTGTTAAAGAGGTCAGCTTTGTGGATTCTTCCAAAATTTACCTGAAAATAAGATTAAAAATCAATTTAAAGTTGCTTTTATAATCAAATTCTTAATCTCTTTATATATTTAAAATTAGGAGCCAGATGACCAAGATGCCACAGATGAGCATGAGTCATCTCTACCAGATGTCCCATTACATGCTCATTCATCTGGATCTCACTATCCACAGGTACATTGGAGTTTGTGCTTAAAAAGTATTTTTTTCTCTCTCTTTTTTTTATAATCCTCACCCAAGGGTATTTTTCCATTTATCTTCAGATGGAGTGGAAGGGTGGAGGGAATTGAGAGAGAGAAAGAGAGACATCAAGTGAGAGAGACACATCAGTTGAACAACCTAGGTACTTGCCTTTGGCCAGAATCAAGCCCGCAACTCTTTGATCCTCGGACCGACAATCTAACCAATGAGCCAAACAGGCCAGGGCTAAAGAGTTGTTATTTTTTATTCCTCACCTGAAGATATTTTTTCCATTTATCATTAGATAGAGTGGGAGGGAAGAAGAGACAGAGAGAAAGACAGAGAGAAACACTGATGTGCTAGAGACACCTTGACTGGTTGCCTCCCACACAGCCTGACCAGGGCTGGGGACAAACAGTAACCAAGGTACGTGCCCTTGACCAGAATTGAACCCACAACTCTTTGGTCCAGGGCTGATGTTCAAACTGCTGAGCTGAACCAGTCAGGGCCTAAAGAGTATTTTTAAAACTATATTGTAATCTACCAGCTATACCTATAAAGTTATAATGAGACTATCTGAATAGCTTAGACAAATGATTAGAAAGGAATGGTTATGGTGGGGTTATTTGGAGCATGTTTGACCTATCCCTATGGTATTTTCTCTATCAACCAGGGAGCCTTATGGTGCTAATAGTTGTAGTTAATAAAAATGTATAATATTTTATAGTAACGTAAAACTAAAATTTTTTAATATGTTTTTTTTAAAAGGGGAGAGGAAGAGAGAGAGAAATATCCATGAGAGAGAAACATCAGTTGGCTGCCTCCTGCACATCCCATATCCCTCAACACAGGCATGTGCCCTGACCAGAAATCAACCTGGTTACCTCTTGGTGAATGGGACCATGTTCAAATCACTGAGCCATACTGGCTGGGCTGAAACTAATTATTAAATATTAACAAAAGTAACTTGCTTGCTTTGCTACAATATTTAGTTGTAGTAAAAAAAAAATTAGCAACAATGTAATATTAATAGATGATTCACTTGAAAAAATATAGATGATTAAATTTTCATTCAAAAACAAAAATTTCAGAGATATTTCCAAATTTATACCCCACTGATTTGCATCTTTTAAGGCAATGGTTCTGAAATTGAATGTGGATCAGAATCAACTAAAGGCATTTAATGAAAATAGAGATTGCTGCCCTGGCCAATTTTTCCCAATGGTTACAGCATCAACCCGAGGACCAGAGAGTCTCAGGTTCGATCCTGGTCAAGGGCATGTATGTACCTTGGTTGAGATTTGGTCCCCGCCCTGGTCAGGATTGTGAGGGAGGCAACCGGCCAATGTGTCTCTCTCACATCAATGTTTCTCTCTCTTTTCTCCCCTCCCTCTCTCATACTCTATCTGAAGATAAATGGAAACATATTCTCGGGTAAGAATTAAACAAAACAAAACAGAAATTGCTAAGTCAGCCCCATGTTATTTGATTCAGTGTTCGGGAGGGGATGCAAGATTTTGCATTTCTAACAAGTTTCCAAGTAATGCCGTTTCTGTTGGTCTAGGAACTGCACTTGGAGAATCAGTTAGTTGTATTAGAAGGGCAGTTGGTAATAAACAATCTTAAAACATTTTCTTTGAAAGGTAAATCAACCTCACAGATTTAGTGTGTCTATTTTGTTTGTTTGCTTTTCCCCCTCAAACACTATCATTTGATACTTACTTTCCTTACAATATGGAAATTGATATATAAATTACTTTAGAACTATTACATGAGTTTTTTAAAAATATAAATCTCTGTAAATAAGAGACATGTCTACTTTCAGAAACATTTTAGCCTGTGATTTTTTTTAAATTTTAATATTTGAGAAGTTTGACATGCAAATCTCTTTCACCCTCTCAGAATAATCATGTGCATGGAGAGCCATATACAGGGCCAGCAGCATATCACTTGAACAACCATCAGAAAAGTGGCCAAAGAGCACAAGTAAACGATGAAGGCAATGAAGAAGTATCCTCATTACAAATGCGGGATCAATGAAATGTCCATAACTGGTTACATTAAGATTATGCACTCAGGCCTTATAGTACAAACTTTTTCTGTATAGCTAGTATTTAAAACTAGACAAAGTATTCAACACGAATTCTGTTCAGTTTCTCATTTGCAAAAATTTGCTGTCAAAATATAAGCCACCTGCAGGGGAAAATGTATAGTGTTTTATAATTAATGGTTAATAATATTATGAAAATGGTAAAGGTGTATATAGTATATATTAATGTATAACTGTTAATTCTTATGCAAGAAAATTTTTTTGGATGGAGTGACTGAGAGATACAAAAAGTAATTTTCTTATGTCTGCTGAATTCTGCAGGCAGTATTATCCACTTCATGGAAGTTCAGTCAATCCTTTACCAAAAAAAAAGATAAAAGGTAACATAAAAGAGCCTATTCACATCTCTCACATAGATGGTGTGGAAAAGTAGGGGATGTACTTTATTTCTGGATATTTTTATTATCTTTTTATTCTGGTAATAAGTTAATCACTTTAAAACCAATAGTTGTTGCATACAGCATGGCTTCACACTAAATTTGTATAGCCAATGAGGACAAAATTACCTAAATAATAGCAGTTTCCTCAAAATGACACCTGTATTGCCCAGAGCTTTTGTTTCTTAAAAATGGAGTAAATATAAAACAAGGGGGAAATGTGACAAAGAAGCAGTTTGTGGTTACACATATATTCTTCATATTTATCGGTTGACAAATCAGTTTCTAATGGAATAAAAGATATGAATGTATTGGTAATAGGAATTTAAAGTATTAATACAAACCTGCAATTTTTTGCTATGTGTGGAGTATAATAGAAGACTGTTTGGTGTGCTTATTTTGTTTTCTGATACATCTTATTAGGTGAACCTTCTAAAATTTTGCTTCTACATGGAATCCAATGGAGTGGACGTCATCAGAATCCCACAATTCTTTGAAGTAACATAGCACCAAAATGTCTGCTTGGTTTTCTAGTCGGTCACAATTTTACTTGAAAGAAAGAATTGTCCCAATTCCTTTTCCATTCCAAAATTTACTGTTGTGGAGTTTAATTAAACACAAATTTCTGGCTTGTTAATATAATTCTGAAGTAGTATTTTAGAAAAAAAAAAATTATTTCAGGATTCCAAGAAATTTATGAGTTAATACTATGTTTAAAAAAGAATTGGTAACTTTTGAATGTGTGTAATATTTTGGAACTAGACTAAAACTCAAATACCACTGCAAAGAGATATAGCCTGTCCTGTACTATTTAAATATTTTGCTGTTTTGTTATATAGAAATTATATATTTGCTGAATTCACAAATAAAATTTGATTTAAGAAGAATTTTGTCTCGTGGTGTTTTTATTTCTTGTAATTCTTTTGTTTTGCTCTTACTATTACACTTTTAAATTAATTATTTGTATAGTTTGCCTTGTCATGACACTGAATTCAACATTTCTGACACATTGAGTTTTTATGGTAAACTTATTTGCCTTTTACCCCTTATTATAAAGATTTACAGGAAAGAAAAACAAGTATTGGCACCTTTAAATTTTTTAAAATAAATCAATCTTATACTTTGGGCACATTTTTAAAGTCAGTTATTTTTATTTGTAGTAGTTAGGTTCTGTAACAGTGATTTCCAACTGGTGTGTCTCAAGAATTTTTAAAATATGCAATACCTGACTGTTTAGTCCTGAGCACCAACTTTTGTTCCCTTAGATTGTCAAATAAAATAATAACAACCAACACAACAATAGTCTGGTGTGAATGAATCAAAATTAGAACTGTTGTTTGTTTGTTTTGCTGCACAATTTTAGTAATTGGTTTATGTGTCCTAAGAGATTTTTTTTAAAGGTGAAAATTGATGTTTTATAATATTGCCATGAACATTGAGTTAATGAATATTGAATCAATGCTCCTATGAGAGACTGCAGAGACTCCTATTTGGATACTGCAGAGTCTGTTCACATTTTCATCAGCCATGTGTGTTTTTATTTAAAAACACCTTATTTAATATATGTTGTATTGAATGTAAGTCCAACACCACTATAACTCATACCTAACTGTTGCTTATCTAATAAATGTATTTTCTCATTTTGGCACATCCCAGACTTGTCCACCGGGCAACCATTAAGTACTTTGCTTAGGGGCATTTTAAACAGCAAAATTACAACAATAAAAGCAAAAATTAGCCTAACTCACTGGCTGACCCATGCACCAAAAGGTCATCACCGGTTCAATTTCCAGTCAGAGCACATGCCCAGGTTGTGGGTTTAATCTCTAGTGGGGGGGGCATGCAGGAGGCAACCAATCCATGTTCTCTCATCCACATTTATCTCTCTCTGTCTCCCTGTCCTTTCTGTCTAAAAATCAATTATAAATAAAAAATAAGTCTTGGCCAGTTTGGCTTAGTGTTTATAGGAACTAAAGAAAGAGAGAGAAAAAAATGGTGGCGGAGTGAATGGAAGCTACACAGACCATCTCCCAGGACCAAACTGGAATTATAACTAAAACACAGACAAATCAATGGGAAAAGCAGCTTGCGAGAACCATATAACCAGGGACACTGACTCAATCCTCGTAGGATTGCAAAGGCGTAAGACGGGGGCTGGGAGTCCATGGTCAGCTGCTCAGCAGTGGCCTTAGCTGTGAGCAGAGCCCTCGGGTTAAACTCCCAAGCGGCTCCACAGTGCAGAGCCGGGACAGAGGCAAAAACAGCCACAGCCACTCACCTTGGGCTCCGGCAGAGGGAGGGCAGACTGAACTGGAACTGTGTGGGGACAACTGGGATTTGGAGAGCACCCAGAGTATTTGCTGAGTTATAGCCACAAAAGATGGTGGCCAGTGGGCTCTTTCCCAGAGCTGTGGGGAAAAGCAGCAGTCCCCCTCCTCCCCACACCCTCAGAGATTGAGCCTTTCTCAAGTGAGGCAAAGAAATGCAAATTGAGGCTCATTAAGAAACAGCATCTATCCCACCCTCTATAAATCCTCTTATGCAGAACACCAGGGCTACATTCCAAGGCACTAAGTAACTGAGACTACTAGCCTCCAGGAAAAAGCTAGAGGATAACTGGACCTTTCCTGGGCTTGCAAATATGCCCAGGAAAGTAAGACTTGACAGTGGTGTTTAACATGGGCCCATCCTGGCTCATCCAAACCCAGTAGAGGGAGCCACAAACAGCAAAACACAGCACCCACAGGGAAAATTTGGCAGACTCCAAAACCCACTGAGAGCCAAAATGGTGAAACAAAGAAACAAATCCCAAATCAAAGAACAAGAGAACTCAATCAAAGATAGGATAAATGAAATGCAGCTAAGAAAATTATCAGAGGTAGAGTTCAGAGCCATGAACTTGAGGAAGCTCAACAACATGAGTAAGAACATCAGCACCAAGAGTAAAGATTTAGAAACACTGAAAACCAACAAAGTAGAAATGAAGAATGACATAGCAAAACTAAAGAACACATTGGAAAGGCTAATTACCAGAGTAGAGAAAGCGAAGGATCGGATCGGTAAATTAGAAGACAGTAGAAAACATCAACCAATCAGAAAACCAAAAGGAAAAAAACAATTAAAAAACAGGAAGACAGATTAAGAGAACTGTGGGACAACTGGAAACATAATAACATTTGCATCATAGGAGTCCCCAAAGAGAAAGAAAAAGGGCAAGTGTTAGAGAATATATTAAAGAAATAGTGACAGAAAATGTTCCTAACTTGGTGAAGGAAGAAGGCATTCAAGTTCAAAAAGCACAGAGAACCCCAAGTAAGAAGAATCCAAATAGGCCCACACCAAGACACATAGTAATTAAAATGCCAAAAATTAAAGACAAAGGGAGAATCGTAAAGGCAGCAAGAGATAAGCAATAGGTTACCTACAAAGGAAACCCCATTAGGCTCTCAGCTGGCTTCTCAACAGAAACACTACAAGCCAGTAGGCAGTGGCATAAAGTGATCAAGGTTATGAAATACAAGGATCTGAATCCAAGACTACTCTATCCAGTGAGGCTATCATTCAAAATAGATGGTCAAATAAAGAGCTTTCCAGACCAAAATAAAAAAAAGGCTGGGGAATATATTAACACCAAACCAGCACTGCAAGATATGCTAAAAGTACTGTTGTAATCAGTAGAAGAAAAAGGAAGAAAAATATAACCACATTAAACAAAAATGGCAATAAATAAGTACATATCAATTACCACCTAAAATGTGAATGGTTTGAATGCTCTGATAAAATGACACAGAGTAGTTGACTGGATAAGAAAGCATGACTCACATATATGTTGTTTATAAGAGACCCACCCCACAACAAAAGACTCACATAGTTTGAAAGTGAAGGAATGGCAAAAAATTATTCTTTTTATTATGTCATAATTTGTTATCCTCACCTGAGAACATTTTTCTTTCTCTCTCTCCCTTTTTTTTTTTTTTTGGTTAAGATAGAGTAGGAGGGAGAGAGGGAACAGAGAGAGAGAGAGAAACATCGACATGAAAGGGACACATCGAGTGGCTGCCACACGCACAACACAACCAGAGCCAGGAACAAAATGTAACCAAGGTATGTGCCACTGGCAGGAACAAAACCCAGGTCTCTCTGGACCGCAGGCTGATGCTCTAACCACTGAGCCAAAGTGTCCAGGATGCAAAAAATTTTTCAAGCAAATGGAAAGGAAAAAAAAGCTGGGGTAACAATATTCATATCTGATAAAATAGATTTCAAAATGAAGGCCATAACTAGAGACAAAGAAGACCACTACATAATATTGAAAGGATCTATCCAACAGGAAGATATAACCTTGGTGAACATATATGCACCCAATTCAGAAGCACCAGTGTATATTAAAAATCTTCTGGAGGATATCAATGGAGAAATCAACAGCAATACAATCATAACAAAGGACTTCCATACCCTGCTGACATCACTGGATAGATCTTATAGACAAAAAAATTAACAAGGAAACAGAGACTCTAAATGAAGTGCTAGATCAAACGTATTTAATAGATATC